CACCACAACATTGCTAAAGCAAAGAAGAACTCAGCTAGCATGCTAGCTTTCGTGACCATGTGGTCTCTGGAGCAGCTGGAACGTGTGGTGGTGAGTCCGAAGGTCCAATCTCTTCGACCAATTTGTGGCCGTCATGAAAGCAACTTCAGAGTTCACAAACCTGTAGGTGCATTTGTGCCATCTACTCTGAACCTATCAAGCATACTGAGCCCAAAACATTCTCGGTTGTCCTCCAGGTTCACGGTGTTGCGCGGAGCAAAGATCAGGTAGAAGTACTTCAGCGTCTCACCCAACCAAAAGCTCTCCTTTCGCAAACTCAAAGGGCCAAGCAATCCATGTGGCCTTTGGATGGCTGAAATTGATTGTTGTGACAGGAGCCCCTAAATGAAAACGCAGTCCAAGCATGCTAGCCAGATCAAATGACGCTCCTGGGAATCCCTTTTTGGTGCGGTTCTCTTCCGGACATCGCTGATGGCTGAGAAGCCATACTTTACCTGGCGAACCATAGCACTAGCCTACAGTCAAAAATATGAAATAAATATGCATTGGCTGTCAGCTGTAGGGCAACTTGTCCATTGGGTGGTTATCACCAGGCACGACCGCATGAATCCAATTGACCCAACGCAAGTGGATGCCAAAGGCCTTGCTGTACTTCAGGAAGGGCAAGAACATGTCATGGCCCTGGACATGTCCAAGGTGATTTCAAGCAAAGCCGAGAGCGGATGCCATGCGTTTTGGCGCTGCTTTCCCATAACATCATTGGCAGCTTGCTGTCTCTATGGCATCTCAGGCTGATACCCACTGCCGGTACTTGTGGTCCCCGGTGTAGTACCACATGTACCAAACGGCCTGAAAACAAAGTGAGCAATGTTCCACTGTTCGGCCGCTTTCAGTCGTGTCCACGGGTTCACGGGTTCCATGGATGAAATCGCGACCGTGAGGCATCCTGATTGGCACAACACAGTATGACGATGACCGAAGGAAGCTCGCCACAACATCCCAACACGAAATGCCCGTCGTTTGAAGGGGTGTGCGCTTGCCCACCTCCGCGGCTTCAGGCCGTAGCAGGTTCTGTGGCGCATCCCCCGGGATTGACATATCCGAGCCCTGGCGATTGGAAACTAAAGCAAACATTGTTACTACTAGTAAGGCACTTGTTAGTAGTAGCGATGCACTTGTTCCTAGTGATTTTACTGTTCCTAGTGCCAAAGAACACATGACAACGCGTTTATCTCTTTTTTTGCCCGCCCGTACTTCATTATATAAGTAGGTGCCTACGCTACTTACTAGCAATAGGAAGCTCGTCCTAGCTAGGACGCAGGATAGCTCACGCTTCTTCAAGGAAGCTCCCCCTGCCCGAGGGCGGGGGGAGCTTCCTTGAAGAAGTGCCAAGTGTCTACTGCACAGATCTGCACAGTGCAGCGCAAAAATCAGGCGTGCCTTCCCAGATCCAGGATTAAAGTTGACGTATTCCGGCGACAAACCGGTCGGCGTTCGCCTCGGACCCAGTGGAAAATCACCTTCACCAGGCATTCGCGTTCAGTGCTCGGCGAGCAGAAATGCGAAACAGCGAAAAGCCAGGTGACTGGCATCCGCCGCTTGTTCTGAGCTCATGACACATACATCTGATAACAGGTGTATGTTAAATCTGCCTTGGTGGGACAAGTCAATGCCCATTGTTGCATGGCAACAGCCAGCTAACATCTAGTTCCGACATGTTCCGACTGTGATTGCTTCAGTGCTTTCGCTTTCCGTGTATGCCGCATCTTTTTGTATGACCTTTCGATCTCAAGACATCGATGATCTCGCGAGCAAAAGCAGCTTTGAGTTTTCGCTTTGCTTTCGTGGTTGCACCACATTTGCATTCGCCGCGCCTTTGTTCCTTTTTGGGTTGCACCTATTTTGGGATTGTCTTTTGTGGGGAGTGGCGCCCCCTTTCATCAACCACATTGGTAGCGGAGCCCTGAGGGGCGATTTTGGGGGATTCTTACATCTCACACTCGCTCTTGAGTGAGCCATGGCTGATGGGGCCCATGGCGCGGAGTTCACGGCGCCTGCGGAGCCGATGCAGCCGACGCCAGCGGCGACGGCGGAAGCGGCACAAGTGCCTGTGCCTGAAGATCCCTGGCAACAGGGACAAGATCCTTGGACGGGGTTCGGTGGAGGAGAAGTGCCTCAAGCTGGGGTAGAAACGGGTTCTGTTTCGGCGAAGGGAAGCACTTTAGACCAACACTCGCCTCGACGCAAAGGAAAAGGCAAGGGTGGCAAGATGAAGATGGATACCTCACCTGATCCATCACAGCAGGTGCCCACTCCGGAGATACCTACTCAGGACCAGATGACACAGCCCGCCATGTCAGGACCGACGAACCAGTTTGTTCCGCCAACTTGGAGCACACCTCAAGTTTTTGGTCCACCAAGTGGTAATGGGTTACCTACAGTGCCACCGGGTTTTCCTATGTCTTCACCATCGGGTATGACCTCATTCATGTCGAGTATGACAGGCCCTTCACCTATGGGATCCATGATGCATGTGCCTCCTTTTCATGGACATGTACATCCAGGTCTTTATGCTCCTGTTCATGCAGGTCCTTGTGTATCAGGGGGGGGGGGCAACCATGGATGATGATGCCGCCAGGTTATGCTTCATGGTTTGGTCATCCACCACCACCAGGTATGACCGTGGGAGCACCTATGCCCTCAGAAGGATCGAATGATTCCTGGTCCAGAGCCACTGCACCGGGACCTGAGAAGACAGCAAGAAAGCCGGCTAGTGGTGGTCAGCCTGATCCACCGCCATCGGAGCCGGAAGAGCCTGGTGATGAAGCTTCATCTACAGCGACTTCGGAGATCAAATCTATGCTGCGAAGGCGCATGAAGCAAGAGGAGAACTACAGACCCAAAAGCTCTCTTGGGTCAGTGAAGGTTGAAGAGTTCTATGGCGATCGCAGCAGGTACTTGAAGTGGAAAAGAACCATCCAAGCTCAGCAGCATCTCTATGCACTGGAGGGTGGAGAGCTGGCCATGTTGGTGTATCTTTCCACCCGGAGAGAAGCAAGGGATGTCGTTGAACAACATCCCATTCAGGCATACACAGAAGCTGGAGGATTGCAACTTCTATGGCGTGTCCTGGATGAAGCGTTCGGTGAAAGTGATGCGGAGCTCTTCGAACGGGTGGACAAGGAGATGGAGCGCTGCCGGAGACAACCCGGAGAGACGATCGCACACTATCTCTCTGAAATGAAGCGGCTTCGAGCTCAGTACAGCCGTGTTGACCCTGAATCCAAGATCTCGGACATGGCTTGGGGACAACGACTACTCCAACGAGCATCTTTGTCGAGGAGAGAAAGGCATGATGTGTTCTATGCCGCTGGAGCTTGTTTCCAAAGCAGTGCCATCGAGAAGGCCTTACGTGTTCGGTGCAGCCGCATTCACGAAGATGAGAAGAAGAGTGGTTTCCGCACCTTTGAGGACAAGAATCACCACCACAGGCCAAAAGGGCAGCAGTTCTACAAGAAGAAAGTGGTGATCAAGAAAGGCCATGGCACGCATATGGTCGCAGAGGAAGACAATGGCATTCCAGAAGAAGAGGAGGAAGCCATGGAGGAGGACACGGCAGAGGTGTTGTTTGAAGATGAATGTGAAGATCCTGAAGAAGATGAAGCCGGTGGCATGGAGGAGGATGATATGGAAGAATATGATGAGGATGAGTTGAAAGAGATCTTCGCGGCAGGCTGGAAGGCCAAGCAGCGGACAGCAGAAGTTCGCAAGAATAGAGGATGGAAGACCACGGGAGAAAAAGGACAAGGCGGAAAAGGCCAGAAGCCGGTGGATCTGAAGAAGAAGAGCAGCACTTGTTCGAGTTGTGGGAAGGTAGGTCATTGGAAGGGTGATGCATGCTGCCCCAACGTCCTCAGCGGACGGGATCAACCTCACATCCCGCCTGCCAAGAAGCCTGCGCAGACGGTGCATTTCACCTTCATGACCGGTGGCTATGAAGATCCATCTCCTCCTGGACATTGCCCACGATGTCGTTGGCCGGTTCCCTTGGCTCAGAGATTCTGTGGACAGTGTGGTCAAGAACAGGTCCAGCAAGATGCAAGAATGCTAGGAGGAAAGCGGTTCAAGCAGGAGGAAGAAGAGACACCCGTGGTGAAGAGCGAAGATGATGAATGGGACGTTATGGAGCCCACACCTTGTCCCGAAAACTTCAGCTTCACAGTTCCCAAGCATGAGGCAGCAGCAAGTGATCCACGAGGACCGAGTGGGACCAGTGGGAAGGGGCATGGGTCCGTCAAACTGGGACCGAAGGAACTCATGGCAGCCTTGCCGGTGCTTTCCAAGGATGTGAAGAAGGAGTTGCAGAAGGCTTTGAAAGAAGATGAAGACCGTCAAGCCTATCAAGACATTCAGAAAGAGCTCCAGTTCACTGCTGAGTATCTGCCTTGGAAGATGGCTGACTATCGCCTTCTGGAACGCATGGAGGAGTTAGAGAAGAGAGGAGCCGCATCCACTGCGAGTGCTTCAAGTGGACAGCAGATCCAGGGACCAACACGACCCTCTCCGCCTCCCAAAGAAGGCGATGTTCCAAAAGCTGTCAGGGACAAAGAGCTGAGGAGCTTTCGTCTTGGACTTTATCAAGCCCAACAGCAAGGTGAAAGACTGATCCCTTCCAAGGCAGCACCATTGCCGACAGAGAGACAAGCTCATTGCCATCATCCCTTCTCAGCTTTGCGGTGGAGCGCCAATCAGGATGGACACTATGCCAAGTGCAAGGATTGCGATCTCAAGAGTGTCATCTACTGGACTGTCAAGCACGGTGCTATGATGGTGGCCTTGGCTCATGAACGACCGGAAGGAGTGACAAGTCAAGCTAAGGTGTGGATTCGTGAAGATGAGGCCAGCAAGACCTTGAAGAAGATCAATGCCGGAGGACCCAATGCATCTCAGGTGTGCTGCCGGGTGACTAAGACCGGCGATGGACAAGTCCTGAACAAAGATGACTACACGGGACGTGAGGTTGCTCTGGAGGCACCCTTGGGAAAGCTGATCACCCCTTTGATCACTGAGTTCTGGTATGTGGAGGAGACACAGGTGGAGATCTATGAGCTCAACAAGAAGAAATTGCCTCCACACCTGCAGACACCCGGACTGGCAATAGCTGATTCAGGATGCCGCAATTCGGTGGGAGGAAGATTGTGGCATGAAGCCTTCCAGCAAGCCCTCACAGCTCACCAGATCCCGTGGCAACAAGTTCAGGAATATGAAGTCTACAGGTTTGGTGCAGGAGCTCCGGTCATCAGTCACATGGCCTGCATCTATCCAGTCTTGGTGCATGGCACATGGGATGTCATCCGGATGTCATGTGTTGAAGGGGAAGCCATCAACTGTCCAGGACTGATTGGGCCTTCAGAACTCAGCCGTTGGAAGGCAGTCTTCAGGTTCGGCGAACGGGCTCTCAAGTTGAATGGAGTGAGCCGGCCGATGACTTTGACATGGACTCGACACCCAGGTATTCAGTTGATGGACTATGACAAGACAAAAGCAGAAGCAGCCTCCGATTTCTGGGTGTCTGAGGATGGCATGGGCAGGAGAAAGATCCTGGAAGAAAATCCACAATCGCTGTCCTTCGTGGCTGAAGAAGGTGAAGTGGAGGAAGCAGAAGGGTCAGAAGAAAGCCCAAGTGAAGAGTCAGGCCAAGAAGAAGATGATCGGCCATACCGTGAGAAGAGAATGCAGCAATGGTTTGACCGATTGCAGGCAGACTTGGGCATCAAAGTCATTGATGAGGCCAACTTCCAAGAGGAGTCAGGAGGTGAGACAAGTCAGGAGGATGATGAAGAACAATCCTCTTCTTCCCATGAAGTCGGAATCGAAGCCGTCTCCAGCGACTCAGAAGATGAAGCAGAGGCTCAAGAAGATGCACAAGAGAGAGAAGAGGAGGTTGCAAGGCAAGGTAAGAAGAAGGTGATGAACAAGCACCTAAGGAGGAAGATGGGGCACCACGTCCATGAGATCAACGGCTCCTTCAAGCAAGAAGAAGATAAGATGCAGGGCCCGGAGGTGAGAGAAGCCTTCATTCAACAGAAGGGAGGAAGGAAAAGGCGTTGGTCGGTTTTGGAGGTGTTCACATGGACCTGTGCCATCTCCCTGGTGGCTTCTGCACGTCACTGGGAGTTCCATGAACCGGTGACTCTGCCCAGATGGGATTTGATGAAGTCCAATGATTACGAACAGGCCTTGGAGTACATCGATCGAGTGGCACCTGATCTGTTGGTGTTGGCTTGGCCATGTGGTCCATGGAGCCCACTTCAAACCTTGGGCAGAAAGACACCTTTGCAAAGGGAGCAGTTGGCACAAAAGAGAGAGGAAAATAGGACCCTCCTTCGCTTCGTACGTGATGCAGCACTACAACAAAGACAAAGAGGAGGTGCACTACTGGGAGAAAATCCAAAACCCTCTCTGGCATGGCAAGAACCGCTCATACAGGAAGCGTTCCAAGACACACCGTCAACGGTGTGCGACATGTGCCAATTTGGCCTTCGACTTCCAGATGGTCCATTTCTGAGGAAGAGAACCAGACTGCATGGGACAAAGGAGATCATGGACCGCTGCAGTCGTATTTGTGACGGAAACCATGAACATACCCCAGTAGTTGGGGGGGCCCGAATCCAGGGCGAATGGATGCCAGTCTCAGCCTTTGCAGGTGGATACACCTCAAACTTCGCCAAAGCAGTGATCCTGGGTGCAGAAGACTATCTTAGTGGTAGAAGAAGGCATGAGACTTTCGCTGAAGGAGGGCATCTGGCAGAAGAAGAGTTCATGGAAGAAGAAGAAATGGAAGAACAGGAAGAGGAGGCTGAAGAAGGAAAGGAAATAAAGAAAGGAAGCACAGAGTGGAAGGTTGCTCAGGTCCACCAACGATTGGGACACCCTACAAGACAGACTTTGGTCAGGATGTTGAGTTTGGCCGGGGCACCTAAGAGTGTGATCACTGTCGCTGAACAGTACCAGTGCCCAGTTTGTGATGCAGTCGCAGCACCAGGACGCTATCCCAAGCAGAAACCAACAATGCGGCCAACAACTTTTGGAAAGGAGGTTCATCTGGACCTGAAATACATGCATGACAGTGCCCAGAAGCTCTTCGTGGCCCTGAGTATTGTCGATGGGGCCACCTCCTTCCACACAGCAGTGCTCCTACAAAACAGAAAGGCCAACTATGTGGCAAGCAAATTCCACCGACACTGGTGCAGCCTCTATGGATCTCCCACCACTGTGTTCATTGACCAAGGAGGCGAATTCGATGGAGAGTTCGTGGGTTGGTTGGAAGCACATGGAGTCCATTCACGATGTACAGGAGCAAGAGCAGGATGGCAGCACGGATTCTCAGAGAGGCATGGAGGACTCCTTGGACACGCATGGCACGCTGTGATTTGGCAATTCCAAGCCAAAGGCAAGGCGGACATGAAGGAAGCCCTATGTGCAGCCATCCAAGGAAAGAATCAGACCATCACAAGGGGTGGTTCAACACCCTATCAAATGGTCTTCGGAAGAACACCCATGTTCCCAGACCTCCTGGATGAAGACACCACTGGCAACCTGGCACTTCGTGAGTCAATGACACAAGAAGGAGAAATCCAAAGGTGTGCTGAGATGAGGGCCGCGGCCAAGATAGCACTGCTCAGGCAAGATTGTCAAGACAAGCTCAAGAGAGCTCTCCGTCGCTGGCCAAGGGGGAAAGTCAAGGACTTCGCACCGGGGGAGATGGTCTTTTTCTATGCCCCGAAACCCACAGCGGCAAGGTTCAAAAGAGATGGAGGAGCGTGGAGAGGACCAGCCATTGTTCTGATGAAGGAGAGCGCTGAACGATATTATGTGAGCTGGCGAGGCCGTTGCTTGCTAGTCGCTGGTGCCAACTTGAGAACATGCAGTGCCCTTGAAGGTGGTGATTTTCGTGGACGTGTGGAAGAGCTGGGACACCTCGAAAAGAAGTGGGATGATCAACAAGAGAAGGCCTATGAAGATCTCTCCCAAATTCCACTACCACCTGAAGAACCAGAAGAAGAGCAAGAAGAGGTTGGGTGGAAGCCTCAGGAAGGAATGATCATTCCCACTAGAGGAGGAAGGAAGAAGTTTCAGGCCAAAGAGATTGCCAAAAGTTTGAAGGGGTTGAGGAAAGTCCAGAAGACGATCAAGAAGGATAAAAGCCGGGACAAAGTGCAATTGAGGATGCCAGGAGTCACCAAGCTACCACGTCAAGAGGAAGAAGAGAAGAAGGAGGAGGAGCAACCTCAAAGAGTCCAAGAAGATCCGGAAGAAATGAAGAAGGCAGAGAAAGCGATCCAAGAGCAGTTTGATCGTTGGTTGAAGAATGAGGAGGAGAAAGATGGCTTTAAGAAGAGACTCCGAGATGCCCTTCAAGATGACGTGCCAATGAGCATTAAGCAGAAAAGACGCCTTGAAGAGCCAACAGGTGGACTCCCTGAAGAGCAACTCCGAGAACGTTTCAGTCCTGAAGTGCTGCACTATACCATGCTGAGCTTGGTGACGAGTAAGAAAAGATCAAATGAGTGGGCCTCAAGACAAGAGGTAAGGAAGATGTCCCAGATCTTGGACCTCCCGATCACCAGCCTCAGGTATCATTTGGCACCCAGGAAAAGACTTCAGAAGCCTCCCAAAGAAAACAAAGCCAGGATCACCGTCATGTTTGGCGAGACAAGTGGAACTGCGATGATATGTCAAGAGAACAGTGATGAGGTCAAGTCTAGACCAAAGAGAAGAGTTCCACACCACTGGCGAGGGATGACTTTATTCCTGAGGGAGGCTGAAAAGAAGAAGAAGAAGGATGGGATGGCCCTCGTGGAACTTCCTCACGGAGTATATGAAGTCAAGGTGGAGGACTTAGAGGAATGGATGAGACTCCGGCAACAAGAAGAAGATCAACAAGCTTTCCATGAAGCATACCTGTTGGTCAACAAAGCCAACGGGAAAGAGCTAGACCCAAGAAAGTTCAATGAAGAAGAATGGAAAGCTTTTGAAGAAAGTGATGCAAAAGAATGGGCCTCCTGGATCGACAATAAAGTCGTGAGGAGATTGACTCCACAAGAAATCAAAGATTTAGATCCAAGAGATGTGTTCAGGGCACCAGCGAGACTTGTTCGGGTCAACAAAGCCGCTTTGACAGGAGGATTTCAAGCGAAGTCAAGACTTGTCGTGCCCGGCCATCAAGACCCGCACTTGGGACAGTTTCGTTCTGATGCACCAACGACAACCTGGGCAGCAGTACAGCTGACAAAGATCATCACCTTGACCCGAGGATGGAGTGCAGCTTGCTTTGATGTCAGCACGGCATTTCTTTCTGGCCGTCCTGTGGAAAGGAAGGTGGTGATTAAGGCACCACCGGAAGGACTTCCAGCAGTCAGAGAAGAGAAGCCGATCAAACCCTATGAGCTCCTCCTCTTGTGCAAGTCAGCATATGGATTGTCAGAAGCCCCAAGATTGTGGTATCTTCGAGCTAAGGAACTGCTGGAAGAGCTTGGTTTCGTGGAATTGGATATGTGCAGGGCAACATTCATCATGAAGAGGCAAAATGAAGTCACAGCCATCTTGTGCCTCCATGTTGATGATGGTTTCTTGGCTACTGCACCCTCCGAGATGTCCGACACCCAGAAGAGAATCAGCTCGAAATTCAATATCAAAGAATGGCAGAACTTGGGTGAGAAGCCTATCACCTTTCTGGGCGTGAAGACACAGCTTCACCAGGGCAAGTTCATTGATGATATGAGCGAGTATGTTAGCAAAATCCAACCAGCGGAGATCAAGAGCGACAGGGAAGAATTGCTGGCTGGAGAACAATTGTCTGCATACCGCCGCCTCATCATGCAATTGAGGTGGCCAGCTCATTTAGTCATGCCTGAGTTCTTGTATCGTGTGAGCGCCTTCTCCCAAGCAGTGAGCACCGCTCGAGGCAAAGATCTGGCAATGGCCAATGCAGTGTTGGCTCAAATGAAGCAAGCGGCGGCATCTGGAGCAGCAACTAATGTGCTTTATCCTGTTGGTGGCACGCCCTTGTTTGTCTCCTACTTCGATGCCTCCCTTGGAAAATCTGAAGCCATGAGTGCTCAGCAAGCAGAAATCCACTTCCTCACGAGCACTACGGTAGAAAGCAGGCCAAGTCAAGCCAGCTTGCTCGAGTTTCAGAGTTGCAAGGTGCATCGCATCGTCAGGTCATCATTGGCTGCAGAATCTTGTGCAATGACCTCGGCAGCAGACAGGCTTCTGTACAACAGGGCATTGTTTGGAGCCTTGTACCATGGCTGCACTGAGATCACCCCTCAATGGAGGGGCCAGTTGACCACCGATGGAGTGATCATCACGGATGCCAAGGGCTTGAATGACCACGTGAATAAGACAGGAAGCATGGCCAGTGAGAAGCAAACGGCTCTGGACATGCTGATGGTGAAACGTTTGGTGGAAGATCAAGTCATCCGCCTAAGGTGGGTACCTACATGGAAGCAAATGGCTGATCCCCTCACGAAGGAGATGAATGGTGATCTCCTGACCACCTTTCGAAAGACCAACTCCCTCTGTTTAGTTGAAACAGCAGAGGACCAGCTTGAAGAGAAGAAGAGGGCATCAGTTCGCAAGGCTCAGAGAGAGCGGCGCAAAATGCGCATGCAGGCAACACGGAAATACAATCTCCCTGTGATGTGATTGCTTCAGTGCTTTCGCTTTCCGTGTATGCCGCATCTTTTTGTATGACCTTTCGATCTCAAGACATCGATGATCTCGCGAGCAAAAGCAGCTTTGAGTTTTCGCTTTGCTTTCGTGGTTGCACCACATTTGCATTCGCCGCGCCTTTGTTCCTTTTTGGGTTGCACCTATTTTGGGATTGTCTTTTGTGGGGAGTGGCGCCCCCTTTCATCAACCACACCGACATCCAAAGAAGAAGGTCGCGCACATTCATCACACAACTCATACATGCTGACATGCGAAAACCGACTCAAATTCACCCAAAGGGGGACGATAGACTCTATGGTGATGTTGTCTACAAGTGTCTATGTCTACGTTGCAGTCTGACCACCATCACTTGCCTTCAGAAACGCTTGTCAGAATCTGGGGTGGTCACAGCGAAGGGCTCCCACCGCGCATCTACCTGCATTTGGCCCAAATGCTGGCGCATGCCATGGTTCTCAGCGCATGTTGATAGGAAATCGTCCGATGTTGCTCAACTTTCTGGCGTGCAGCCACAACTTCAATGGACCGTTCCGAAGCTCGCCTCTTCGGGCGGGAGAGAACGGCTGCCAAGCATCAGCATGCCAGCCTCCGGACGGTGTCAATCTGCACTGTTTCGCATTGATCAACTCCACTTGAGGCACTTTGAAGTCGGGAGCAACCATCATCCAGTGTGTAGATGCGTGTAGGTAGATGCTTTTGGTCTATGATTGTTCAACTGCAGGGTTTCGGCCATCCGTGCCCAAGGGCCCGGACAACAAAGCAGGCCAAATGGTCCATGCGGTTGCGCTTGCGCCCGCCCCTTAGTGCGACCAATGTCAAGCTCTTCCAACCCAGCGGGTAACATGAGTCAAAGTCGGTCCTACACTGACCAATCTGCACTGAAGACCTGAAGGCATGAGGGCCGAACTCCAATTCAGCGAGAAACTGCAAGCCTCCTGCAGTCTTCGAAACCTGAGTTCTAAAATGAAAGTTGATGTCCACCGTCCACAGCAGAAAGAAAGTGCAATGAAAACGGAAAAATCTGTCATGGGTTCAAGTACAGGTTGTGGGGGACCCAACTGGGGCAAAATTGTCTCTACACTCTGTTTGCCAGCACGGTCCATGTTCTTGAGGGCGAGTCCATTTGGTCAAACATCTCCTTCATGGCCTGAGCTTCTGTCTTGGCACCGCACATCACCGCACTCTGTGGAAGCAAATAGCTAGAAAGCATGGAAAGCCACTAGCAAGGCCAGCCATTACAAGACAAATGGCCTGCACTCCATCGACTATCGTGACTATCGTGGTCTAATGCCATGCTTTTGGTTGTGACCAACATGACTCCGGCACAGGCCACACTCACTCTGACTCTCGACTCAAAGTGCCCTGAAGGCACGCCCGACACATCGCCCGACTGTGCCCGGAGGGCCCGGCCCTCTTCCATGCCTCCTTTAACTGGACCTCGGCACTGACTGTCACAATCAGCACAAGCATCTTCTCTGAAGGCATCCTCTCCTGCTGAAAGGATGTGCAATTTAATATTTGTTGTGTACCTAATATTTCTCTATGTGTGCTTTTTTTGGTAAATTATGTGCCCCCGAAATCAGTCTGGGCATCCTCACATCTCTCTTGCCTCCCTGAATCCAAAGCTTCAGCAAGTACTCGTAATAGGAGTCACCTTGTGGATCCAACACAGGTTTCACATGTGTTCACTGAATGCTGAAGCAAGCAATGATCTCACACTACTCTGACACTCTTGCACATTCAGCCAAAGCCAATGGCATTTGTTCGGGCTAATGTGCTGCTGCGTCATGCTGTTTTGCAATCCATCCCAGAATGTCTGTGCCTCTGACGTTTCTCTCTACAGACTCTACCACACCTTTGGGAAGTAAATGTATCGTGTCTTGGGCTAAGGCTGACCAAGGCCTATGGATTCCCAAGATCCACTCGTTTCATCGAGTTTCCACATCCCTTTGGCTTTTCTGAATTGATCCAAACGGCCCATGGCTCCCATGGACATCTTACTCCCCACGAAGGACACTGCCTGAGGACGGCATCTTTGCACAACATGTACTTTTTGTTGTTGTTGTTGTCTTAGAAGTAGATACCTGTGCACAATTGTGCACTCATTATTTTCTTGATATACATGGGGCTCATGCACATGCGTTGCAAGGCAACTGCACATTGCATCACAGCTCCCCTTAGGCTCAAGCTTGCTTGTTGGGAGAGCTCAAATAGATCCTTGGAGTGGACGAGGGTAGTGTTGCCGATGTTGCACTACATGGGAGTGCAAGGCTATGCAAGGCTACACAAACTGCGATGGAAGATCTTTACTCAGGCCAATGATGAATGCTGCTGGCTGCTACCTGCTGCTAGCTCTGAGGAAGAGATGATGAATGATGATGAATGCATATGATTACATTTACATTCACAACACACAACGACCATGCAGCAAGCCGAGCCACGCAACATCGAGCTGCCCATTTCAATCGATGCGGAAAAAAAACCAATTGCGGTCACTTCAAGCCTCATTGAGGCCTATATACAGGGCCCTGCGGTCTGAGTCTATTGTACATACAAATCACTCGCTCATGCAAAGCAAAGGCATGCGCAAGCAGCAAGAGGGCACTTCACATATAACGGGATTGTCACAGGAGACAGTGGGTTCTCACTGCCCCCATGTGCGGCTCCTCCCGGCGATGCCTTGAGCAACCATGCTTTGGAATTTGAGTGAGGGGTTATTCTGGATGAGTTGGAACGGGGCCCGGTCATCTTCACCTGAAGCTGCACAAGGATCTCGCATCCATGAGAGGGCCTATGACGACAGGCACCCTTGAAAGGAGACTGTCAAGCGTATGAGCCAGGCCAAGCCCCAACAGTGAGGCAAAGGACATGGATGGACAGAAAGAGATGGACTGGGAACTGACCGTGGGATGCTACATCCATACGGGGACAGTTACGGGGATGCTGGCGGGTCATCCAAACCAAGCGGTGCGATCTCAGAAACAAAAAGTGTGAACTTCTGATCTCGGATGATCTCAGTTGCAAGCTTGGCCTTCCACCCAATCGACGCTAAAATGTCTACCATACTGCAAGTATTGTTCTCCTTCCGCCTGAGCAGAGACGGATCTCTCTGGGGTTCATTTACCGCTGACGAATCTGTTTGGTATCCTCAGGTTGCCAGGTCCTGGGCAGCCGCCAAGAGCCTCAGCCATCAATTGGGTGAAGCCTTGGGTCAAATCAATCACGATATGTATATAAATATCTTAGCCGCTCTTCGAACAGGTTTTGCTCTCTCAAAGTCGAGTCATCGGTGGGATAGGGAACTGGCCCAACCCAGTCTAACGTCAGATGTCCCTCTAGTAGGACCCATGCAATC